CGATGATGAAGCTTGGGTTGAAGTTGAAGTTTGGGAACCATTTTACTCTAGACTCGCCGGGGAAGTTTGGCGGCCCAGCGAGGAAGGCGCTTCCATGCTTCCCCTAAAGCGGATTCTTTGGCCAGCTATTTACTGCTTCAGGAGAACGAAATCAGCATCTTCAGAGTTCTATGGTGAAATGGAAGGTGTCTCATCCATTGCTGGTGACCCTCTAGATTTCGCAGAGAAGTGGCGTGTAACAGAGAAACTTAGCTTTGCCGAGGCGAGCCCTAAGCCTCCGTCTGTCCATCAAGAAGCGCCGACTAAGGATCAGGACGCATCATCTCCCGATTTACTCAACTTGCCCGAGGGGGTTGAAAGCCTTTCACGAGCGTCGCAGTATCCTGACCTTCAAACTGCTAGTCTTGTATACCCAACACCGCCTGATGGGGCCGCCGCAACAGGCTTAAATCCCTTGGTTACTTCCGATACCTTCACGGACGACATTGAGCAAAACTCGAACTTCATGCAACAGGACAGGCTGAATCATCATCGTCAACTCAGCAAAGAGAGAACTGGTACGGATGTGATAAGCTTTGGCCCGTCGGCAGGACTTGTGGTTGGTTCGGGCCTATACGATACGAACGACGACGATGATTTATTCGGAGATATGAATGAGAAAGACTTTGGCACTAAAGGAATCACTGATGCTGATTTCAGCTTCTTTGACGACCCAGACTTCGATCGTGGAGGTGTTGGCGAACAGGCTGAAGCAATTCAAGAATTGTCTGGGTTCATGGATACAGATGAGCCCGAGATCCAAGCAACTGTGGACGGTCAGGCTTCACCTGAACAGACACCAGCCATGAATATTGCAAGCGCTCAGTTGAGTCCTGTGGTCGCTACAGCAGACATGCAGCCCGAGAAAACTCACCAGGAGGCCAAGGCACCTGTATTCACGCCTCAGGAGGACAAACCCCGAACGATAAGTCCCCCCTTGAGCCCGGTGGAGGTCAAAAAGATCCTGTTCCCGGAGTCGCAACTTGGAAGTCAACGGCCTGCCAAGAAAGGGCAGGGGCCTGGTTACTACAATGCAGTTGCTTTCAAACAGAACATGTCCCTCTGGGACAAGAAATACGGCGCTGATGGAAAGTTTGGATTCAATCTTCGTGGAATTGAAAGGAACAAGGGGCCAGACACCGTCACAAATGACATCCCAACTGTTGGCCTTCCACGTCACAGCGGAAAGATGAAAAGCAGCACGTCAAAGGATCCCGACAATTACGGGTCTCCTTATAGTGAGGAGATGCAAGAATCATCATCGGATTCGGACATGAGCAGCAGTGTAAGTGCCGACAGTGATGAGAGTGCCTCTGAAAGTGGCCTATCACCTGCCACGTTTTCCACCAGAAAAAGGAAACGTACTCGCTCCAATTCGGGAACTTCGTTAGCTTTATCCCAGGACAAGTCAACTGTCCGGACTGGTCAAGAAACTGCAGCCCAGAGACCGGAAGACTCGGTATTTCTGGGAAACTTTCTGTCTACCTTTTCTGACTGGTCAATGGCGGGCTATTTCTCCCTGGCACAGAACCAGGTCTCGCCAGTGCTTATTCGCAAGGACATACAGGTTCAAGTTGCTCAGTTATTGGTTGACCAAGTGACACAATCATCTCTGGACCATAAGATAGATGGAACCCTTGGTCTGCTTGATTATGCTGATGAGGTGTGCTCTCCCGAGACTCTTCAGGGTGATGCAGCTTTCGTGAGTGGAATGGAACGACTGGATCTGAACAGTTTTGTTTCGTTGCAAGATTCCAATGCGCTTTCGCCTTCGTCATCCAACGGTGCCAACCCGCGTCAGTCCTCTCAGCGTAGAGAGACTGGAAAGGGCACCATAGTGAAAATACCCCCACCGCACTTGCGCGTGCGTCGGGGAAAGGATTTCCTGGAGACACTACCTCCGGCGATATCCTTTTGGGAGACTTTCGGGCTGGAACCTGCGCATGGGCAAAAGGACATTCTCGCATATTGCATACATCCTCATTTTGCTGCTCGAGCAGCCGACACATTCTTAGAGCGGCTTGGACTGGTCTACTCGGGCTGCAACCTTGGCGAGCATCGTCGAGGCGAAAGTTCCAATGTCTTCGACCGTGGACTGGGCTCCTGGAACATCAGTTCATCAGCAGACTCACGTTACTCCGAGGTCATACAGTCACTCAAGACTATTTGTGGAGTGCTCGGTAAGCCATATCCGACAATGTTGACTTTGCTTATTCTGACTGAGACAGGGTCTGCGTTTTTGAGTACTCCGCCAAGCAAGGATAGCAACATTGTAGTTTACATAGTGAATCCTTTTACTCACGCCACATCATTGGTGGATATCTGCGCTGCATTCTGGTCTCTTTTCCAGCAATACATCGCGGAGGCTGACAAGCAACAGACACGACAGCTGAACGAGCTTGTTCTTCAGATAATCCCCATGGATTTTGTCACTTCGGCCGAATCTCTCGTTGTTCCTCCCCAGGCCGAATATTTGAACCTGGCCCTCGAAGTGTACAGCCGATGTCCGCCTAAATCGTCCGAGGTGGGCCCGGTGAATTGCGCACCGCCGGTGTTGCTTGCAGAGCCTATTCCTAGATCTATTGGCTTCAAACTGTCATCGGAGGGTTCGTCGCCGTTGCAGGAAGGCAAGCATCTTCATATTGCTTGTTCCCGAAGTCTGGATCAACGTTGGTTGAGTGTGGCTTGGTCTGATAATTTTGGGGCACTTCAACGGAACATGTCATATTGCCTTCGCTATCGTAACTCTGTTGCAGCTCGGCCTCTCCCGGAGGTACGGGGTGAAATATGGAAGGCAACAAGGGATATCATGGATACGATTCAGACGCGCTGGAAGGTCATCATTGTCAGCACTGACCCTGTGGACCAGGAGGAGGTTGACAGTAAGTGCTCGCCCCATCGTTTGCCGGTTCAGAGCTAACAGATAAAAAGCGTGGACAAATTTTGCAGATCAGTACGGCAAGGCTAGGTCCATGACGCTGGATCTGGTGATCTTGGGCGCGACCACTCCTCCTGACCTACATCTCGAGCCGCCTTATCTCCCCATTCCCTTGAGCATGTTCAATCAGCAGCCTTCATCCACACCTGTTGCTACACCGAACCTTGGCGGCGGTGTCTCTTCGCCGGACCAGTTCGGTACCGCGCCCACACCCCCGGGTGGCTGGGGTGCACCCGCGAATGCCTCCACCCCAACGGATGCGTTCCCGGAGGTTGAATCCGAGTCCCTCCTCACGGATATCTACGATGAGACATGGGGGGTAGTGTTATCGCATCGTCTCAACAGCTCTCTGCATCAGACGGAGTATCGCCCCGCATTGGCAAGCGGGTACCTTCTTCGCAGGAAGGGCTCTACTGATGGAGATGGCCTATATGCTATGAGTGTCAATATACTCTTTGCACGGCGTTCCCCGTCTTCATATGATACTCTCCTGCGGGAGATTCTGGGTATGTATCGCGACCTGGCAACCCTGGCCAGAGCCAGGGGTACGCGCACTGTGCAGCAAGGCACATTACCGTGGCATGTGGCTACGGCAATCAAAGCCCAGACTCTTCTCAGCTATGCATTGTGATCTTTTCTTTTCATGTTGTTGGCATTATACCATGTCTGCGGGTCGAGCGATCATGTGGCGTTTAGGGGAACACGGCTGGCTTCTTGCTTCATGTGTTCTACCCGATTTCTCTTCACTTATGTACATAGTTTGTTTTTTTTTTCTTCTTTTTCTTTCTCAGGCAGAATAGGTTATACCACTACGCAGGTTTGTTTTGGATTTGGACTGGGCGGGAATGTTGAGTATGATTTTGGAATAGAGGCCGGGGCATGCATCTTTACATATTTATGGCGATATCTAGCAATGTAATACCATATGGCAATGTGCTATATTATTAAGATGTTGGTCAATTCAACTGTATGGCCTTAGTTCAGCCTCTGAAATTGTTGCGTTTCGAACAGCTCCCCGTTGCCGATATATATTTCAGCTGGTGTGGTACTAGGGCTATAATAATTGCACATCCTGGGTCATGACCACTGAGGCGAGCACATGTGCCCATATCGACAAGATCCCCGATAGCATCTACATACACATCTAAATAGGCCAATAACCCATAGGCCCGGCACCACGCATCTAGAGCCCCTGTTCATTGTGAACATAAGCTCCCATCATGCGGGTATAGTATAGCCTTACAAGTCCAAACCCCACCAAACATACTGCTATGGATGAAGATAATGCATTAGTTGCTAGAGTGTTATGCAATTGCTTCTGTGATTTTCAACAACAACCTATAATGTATCAATCCATCCATTGTGCCTTCATACATTCGCTACCTATCGCACAAGGCTTTTGGCTTATCGTCTAAGGGATATATAAGCAAATAAACACGCCTTCTTCAACAAGAATCCGATATGGTGTAGTGGCTAACATCGCCGTCTCTCACACGGCAGCCGGGGGTTCGATTCCCCCTATCGGAGCTTAAACAATTCTTTTTTGTTTTCTTTTTGCCCTTCCCCTCCACCTACCACATCATCTTCCGCTTCATATCAATCAACAACAAGCACCACTAAATAGGAACCATGATCTCTATCCCATATTTTACCTGTCATTGATCCCCAGCTATGCATCCCCAATCCAGGTAGACCAAACCTACAAGGTCCCCAACAACCAAGTACCTTGCAATCCAATTTCTCCCCCATAGAAACACGCAATCACATGACCTCTTATCTATCTAATCAACACCCCGATAACCACCATCATCCAAATCCAAAAAAATTTCAGGCGCAGACCAGCACCACCAGCAAACTTTCTTCCCTCCAACATATATATCACTGCAATCTACACATACATCTAAGCAGGAACTACTCCCAACAAAATCCCTCAATAACAAAAATCCTCCAATTTCTCCCTACCAACTCAAAACCAACCGATATAGCACACCCACACCCACCTCCGACCCCACCATCCACCAAAATGACCACCCAACAACCCCCCCAAACAGCAACCCAATACCTCGACCTGGGAATAACCCTCGCGATCAACGCCTGGCCAGCCCTCACATTGGCCGTGCAATCCAACTGGGGCGGTCCGACCTCCTCCGACAAGCGCGACTGGCTCTGCGGCGCCATCTCGGAGATGATCCAGGAGCGACCCGAAACAGACGCCGAGGATCTCGAGGACGTGCTTATTCAGGTGATGAACGATGAGTTCGATGTCGTGGTGGATGATGAGAGTGCGGGCATGGTTGCCGTGCAGATTATGGAGATGAAGGGGCAGACGGAGAAGGGCGAGTTCGGGGCCATCCAGGAGATGTGGGAGAAGTGGCAGAGTAAGAAGGGTGCCTCGGGGATTGAAGGGTTTAAGAGAGGGGAAGATCAGGAGGATGATGATGATAGTGAGGAGGATGAGGATGAGGATATGGAGATGGATGATGCGCCGGCGCCGGCGTTGGTGAGGGCGCCGAGGGAGAAGGTTGAGCCTGAGGTGGATGAGGATGGGTTTATGACTGTTGTTTCGAAGAAGAGGAGGTAGATTTTCTTTTCTTTATCTTCTTATTTTTTATGATGGGAATGTTTGTTCTTCATTGGTATTGTTAAAAGTTGTTTGTTGGTGCTGGTGCTGGTTGATTCCCCATAGAATAGACGTCCTGTTTCATGTATTCTGGCTGTTTGTCTATGCTACAGCTGTGTGATTCATGCGTGCAGTGAATCTTTTTTGACTATCCAAATCATAAAAAGCAGTAGAATGCGTGAAATGATAGCAATGAAAATTTTATTGCAAAACCAACAAGCAAGGGAATGCAAAATCTATAGGAAAGGAGCAAAGGAGCAAAAAAGAATAAAACGGAACATCAAAATTCATCATCATCAGCAACAACCAAACCAGGCTGCTATTGGGATATCATCACCGAGCCTTTTCCCGCCCATTCCTCCCGGTCGACAGTCGTAGCTCGTTAGACATCGCCGTTGACCACCGTAGGGACTGCTATTTATAATGAAAAGACATTCACACTTTACGCCTGCGTCGCCGCCGCCTCTTCGGCAGAGATGAGCTTGGTAATCATACCAATGGCAACGGTTTGACCCTGGTTTTGTATATTAGCATCGTTCTATGAATGGCACTTTGACAATGGCTGCTTACCTGATCACGCAGAGTGAACCGACCCATCTGGTTGTAGTCCTCGAAGCGCTCGACACAAACGGCACCAGCAGTGCTCGTCACCTCGATACGAGCAATGATGGTCTGACCCTTGGCAGCGAAAGGAGGGGGACGCTTGCTGCGACGTCCAGTGCCGGGCTCGCACTTGTGCAGCAGGGCCGCAACAGTAACTTCTTCGACAGCAGAGTGCACGTGCATCACGCAGTTGTAACCAGCCGTGAGAATGCTCTTCAGGTCAAGAATTCTGATCTTGGCCTCGAAGGTCTTGACACAGTTCACCAGACGCTTGGGAGAGCAGAGCACGAATCCGGGCAGGATATCTTCCTCTTCCACACCACGGAGACGAAGACGGACCTGGTCACCGCAGGTACCGGTGGGAATTTCGTCCTCAGTCTCACCATAGAGTGCAGCAATTTCGACCTTGGTGCGGTTGGGCATCATAATGCAGCTGCCGTTCTTCTTAAGCACACCAGACTCAATGCGACCCTCGACCATGGTACCCATGTCACGGTACTTGGCACTGATGGGCATCATGAAAGGTGCGTTGATCTTACGCTCGGGCACCTTCATGTCCGACAGGAACTCCAAAAGGGACGGGCCGCCATACCAGGGAGCAAGGTCCGTGGGGACGCGGTCCTTGATACCCGTGGTCCTCTGGGCAGAGATGGGCATGAAGAAAAGATCGCTCTTCTTGTAGCCGAGGTTCTCCAAGAACTTGCCCACCTTGACGGTACATTCGTCGAAACGAGCCTTGCTCCACTCAACGGTAGGGTCGTCCATCTTGTTGACAGCGACAATCAGGGTCTTCACACCGGTGTTTCGTGCAAGCAGGGCGTGCTCACGAGTCTGACCACCCTTTTCGAAACCGGTTTCGTATTCACCCTTACGCGCGGAGATAACGAGGACACCGACATCGGCCTGGGAAGCACCACCAATCATGTGGTGGACGTAAGACTTGTGACCGGGAGCATCCAAGATGGAGAAGTGTCTCGTGATGGTGCTGCCGTCGGCGGCCTTGACGGGAAGCTGGAAGTGAGCACGGCCAACCTCAACAGTCTTACCCTTGGCACGTTCCTCGTTGGTCAAATCCAGGGCCCAAGAGAGGTACCAGGTCTCACGACCAGCCTCCTTGGCGTCCCTCTTGTACTTCTCCAAGGTACGCTCGTCCACCATACCGGTCACGTAAAGGATGGATCCACCCAGGGTAGACTTTCCGGCATCGACGTGACCGATGAAGACAATGTTGACGTGCTCCTTCTTCTCACCATAGATTTCCTTCAGAGTAGCCTCATCGACATCGGCTTGTTGCTCCATGGCGACAGCGTCGGCGTTACGAGCAGCCTTGGCAGCCTCGCCGCGAGCAGGGCTGGATCTTCCAGGGCTAGAGCGACCCGAGGGGGTAGGGGACGACTTGCCGCTGGCGGCAGCCTTCGCATCGGCCTTCTTCTCAGTCTTCTCGATAGCCTTGGAAGCCGTCACCTTAGCGGCCGCCTCAACAGCGGCAGCACCCTTGGTATCTCCAGGTGTAGCGGCACCCGAGGTCGAAGAAGGCGTGCTCGAGGTGGGAGCGGGGGAGGGGGTGCCGATGGAAAGAACCTTGGTCTTGGGAGCGGCGGGGGAGTTGCTGGCACCGCCAATAGACAGGACCTTAGCCTTGGGAGGAGCAGCGTTGTTGGATGCGGCGGGCTTCGGGGCGGGTTGAGCGGGCTGGGCGGCAGCGGGGGCGGCGGCAGCTTGACGGGGCTGCTGCTGCTGCTGGTAACCACCGTACTGCTGGTTGTAGACCTGGTTGTTGTTAAAGCCACCAGGCTGTTGAGCGTAGGCGCCGTATTGAGCATAGGCCTGCTGTTGCTGGTCATAAGGGTATCCGCCGTAGGCCTGCTGGCCGTACTGGCCATACTGCGGGTAACCGCCACCGTAGGGCTGGTAGGTCTGTCCAGGAACGAAGGAAGCAGCACCGGGGGTGAAAGTGGCAGCACCAGGGTGGAAAGAAGGAGCCTGGGGCTGAGGGCGACCTTGTGCGTTGGGGTTCAAACGAACGCCCTCAGTCTGTCTGGAGAGCTCATCCTCCCAGGAATCGGGGGTCTGGTCGGCCATGGTGTATGTGGGGAAGACGCTAAGAGAACGACAACAAGACAAACACCAAGCAAAGTCCCCGGTATATAAAAAAGGGACTGGTCTAAAAGAAGAAGAATAAGAAGGTGGAGGGGGGGAAGAAGAAGAGGAGGAGAAGAGCGAACAATGAAAGGCAGAGAGCAACGCAGCGGCAAGTGAGGGGCGTTTTTCTTTGCGGAGGCTCATTTTCTCTTGTCCGCCTTTGAGTTGATTTTGCACCCCGCTGACTCAGCTGCGCCTCCCCGCCCCCGCGGCTGTGGCGTCTGGCGCGTCAAGGAATTAGCACGTGTTGTGTTTTGCATTGTTTGTCTCGTACTGTTTCTCCGCTGTGAAGAATGACTCCAACAATGACCTCGCGGGTCTGAACCGGGTCGTGAGAGAGAGAGAAAAGTGTGGGAGGTCTGTTCAATTACGCCCTTTTTTATCTATATGTTGGGATAGCTGTTGCTGGTGGCAGCCACAGTGGGTGGCCCGTTATCGATAAGCTCTGCAAACCGCCTCAGGGGCGCTACAGATCACTACTATTACTAGATCCCACCAGCAGTCAACATTCCCTATTCTGCTGGGTACATTCCCCTCGGCAAATTCATCCTGAGAAGACAGCAGGGGAAGCCTGACTTCAAGCAAGATGGATGCTTTTCTCACGAGGGTATGTTTTTGTGCCTACGGCCCATTTGTAAGGTCTCGAGCCTAATCGTGCATTAGCTCACGCAGCAGGCGATGAACTATGCCATTCGGTAAGAATCAGCTCCTCTATATTACCTACTTTGTCTGTTACAGCACTTGCTAACTCTGTAATTAGCTCAGGCATAGCTATCACTGCCAAATACGCCATCAGTCAATCGTCTCGCTTACTCAAAGTAAGTCAAGATTGGTCTGCTTCTACGGAAATTCGCAGAAGATCATAGCTGACCATTTGCGCTTCAATCCTTCAGAACGTTGACGATGGTGAAGAGAGGGAAGAGCTACTCACGCTTCAGCACCGACTGGAAAGCAAGATACAGGTCATTTCACCTGCCATTGATATGATTGAACTCATGTAAGTGAAGTCGGTTATGGAGGGACCCCACGATGTCTGAAATCTAACAGCTTCTAGTGCTGCAAGAGGCAATACGTCACTAGAGTCAGCCGTGTTTCTCACAAAATCTCTTCGCTGGGATATCCAATCCCTCGGACAGCGACTAGCAAAGACTGCTGCATCTGAAGAACTGTATCTTAGAGGGGCAAACCCCAAAAGAGACCGTTCCCAACACAAGGCGGAGATCAAGCTTGTCATTAAAGATATCAAAAGACTTCTTGTTCGTATTGAGGACGCAGTACCGCTGATGAACTTGGCTATCACGACGTCGGGTGCTAAGCTATCAACAAACCTGCCATCGAGTGTGTCTCCATCCCGACTGCTGCAGGCAAGCACCTTCCTGACTGCTGGCGATACGCAATACTCCATGTACCCGTCTCAAGCCGTCCAGATCGGCCCCACATTTACTCTGTCTATGTACATGCTCTTTTCCAGTCACCTTCGGCCGCATGATGAAGAAGGTATCCGCGAAGCAACCTGGAAGGAAGTTATGCACAAGGCGCGTTTGAAGCTCCGCAGGGTGCCTATGGACCTAGCTGCAATCCCTCAGTCCGAGACGCCGTATTTCAAACTTCCTGCCGAAGCAAGGATGGACGAATTTGCCTACCAGGTGTTGATTATCGAAGATTTGGATGATGGCAGAGTCCATTCGTTTGACGAAAGTGAACCGCAACCTCACAGCTACGAAGGTGTCAGCACCGCAGGACTACGCGAAATTCTTCCAATCCACGAGATTTCCAAGATCTTCTATGCAGACACCGGCAAGATCTTAAATATAAACACCGAGGGAGAGACCAACAACCCTGTTCTCCTCCTGAAGAGAGACATCAACGCCATCCCACCCCGACGGATGGTCGAACGGGACGAGACCTTGTCCGGCTACGCCCCCGAGGACCCCCAAGAAGATGAGGAGGAGGAAATTGACGAGATTCAAGCGCAGCTAGACGCCCAACTCAACGAGGCAAACGCCAACCCCGGACTACCTAGTTTCCATAAAAGCTCCATTCCCGAGGAATGGCGACTCCCCAAAGACCTCGACCCCGAATGGATTGCATTCGAAGTCTACAATGAAGAAGAATCATCAGATTCCGAATCCGAAGCAGAAGAGGACCACACCTCACCATCCAGAGCAGGATCCATCGACCCCGAAAGGATGGCGAAGCTTTCTCTCCACGACAACACAACAACGCCGTCTCGCCGCAGCACCCCTTCTTCAACGCAGCGCATATCCACAGCCACCGTCTCAAACCCCCACTTTAACAACATCCGCACATCCCTATCCCTCCTGGAGACCCTCCTCCGCCTCACCTCCCTCCAACAATTCCAGCAGCAATCCCACCTATCCATCAGCGACGAGCTTCTCAACTTCTTCCTCGAGGAATCCTCAACCACAGGCGCCGGAGGCGACGAACAACACCGCCAACGGCTCCGCGCTGACGCAAGACGCAGAGTCGGCTGGGACCCGTATGACGAGAGCCCCGTCAAGCGAAGAGGCGAGGACTATCAATACGCATGGACCTCGGAGGGCACTCCGCTCAGATTCTCGCGCGAGACAAGCGAAATGCCCTACTCGCCTGGCGATAGCAGAACCAGAGGATTCCATCTAAGGTCCCGAGAGAACACTCCCGAGACACCGCTCCGGTACGGACGCTCCGCTTCCGTACAGTCGTCGGATCTGAAGTCCCGTGGTGCTCGGCGCGGAGGGCCGTCATCGGCTGTTCTTGCTAGTGAGAGGTCGAGGGGAGGGTCTCCTCTGTCTAGGAAGTCCACGCCGGGTCCTATTGTGGAAGGGGTTGATGATGCTGATGTTGATGGTCCGTCGGAAGGATAGGTGGGTTGGCCACATTATCGATATGAATATCAATATCAAGATCAAGCAAATGACGAACGTTACGACTACGATACCGATGCGATATAAAGGGTTTGTACATGGGAAAATCATAAATACTCCTTGTGAATAGACTTGCATATCAATACATTACACGTTCTGCAATCTAGTCCCAAAACAGGAATATCTTTCAGAAACGCTTGTACCATATACCAATAGAGGAAAGTGAGGGGTGGGAGGTAGGTGTATTTGGCACTGTCAGGAAAGAAAATAACAAGAAAGCCAAGATAACACGCAACTGCTAATACCAAGAAACTTATCGCGTAAGGGAAGATGGAAAAGGTGGAACGAACGACGATACTAGAAAAGAAGAAAGGAACAGAGTAGCAATCCTAACGCCTGAAGATATCAAACAAACGACACCGCAACTCCTCGCACCGCAATCAACTCATATGTAAGGGAATCAGGGAATCCTTTCTCTCTTTCGGACCAGCCAGTGGTCAGTCAATGATTTTGGAGAATCTCTAGCAACTATACGACGCAGTCAAACTTGTGCTTTACTCCAAGCAATCATCCCATCGTTTACTCCCAGTCGTCATCGCTTTCCTCATCCTTAGCCTTCTCCTTGGGGCTGGCAGGAGTGCGGCTGGTCGCACCGCTGACGAGGTCGTAGCTGGATTCGCTGTCAGGCTGGGACTGTTGGTCGTTGGACCGGCGGGGTTCCGTGGGCTTCAGGGTATCCTTCTCGGTAGCAGTGGCAGTAGGGGTGGCAGTGGTAGCCTTGGCGGTTGCGGTAGATTGCTGGACTTGAGGCGTAGAGGGAGAGTCGGTGTCGTCATCGGAATCATCGTCCCACTTGACTTCTTCCTCGTCGACGTTGACATCTATACGACAAGTTAGAGATAAGAGCCATGGCATATCTGGTGGAGGGGAGATAAGGAAAAAAAGAGAGAAACATACCCTTAAGAAGCTCCTTCCGCTTCTGCTCCTCAGTCTCAATGACCAAACGCAAGAAGTAGTAACGACACCAAAAGACCGCGTATTCCACCTTCTCCGGAACAAGCTTCTCCATAGCGGAGCGCAGCTCCGGATACTTCTCCAAGTCGGCGGCAATAGCATCCGTCTTATTGTCCACGTTGAAAGACTGCTTGAAAGTAGGCCACTCCTCACTCACGGGATCTTTCGAGAAACTCTCCAAGTTCGAATGAATGACATGAAGCTGCGCCTCAAATCGCGTAGCATGAATAACCCGCTTCCCGTCTGCATCCTTACTCTCAAATAGAAGCTTGTCCGACGAGGAGTCCATAGACGGCGGCACAATGCTGACCGCATCCTTCAACTTCTGTCCGATGTTCATCCCAAAGCGCAGGATAGCTTCGTCGGCTGCTTCCTCAGCCTTCTCGATCTCTTTGAGTCGGCGGGCGGCCTCGGCCTTGAACCGCGAGAGGAACCCCTCATTATTGTTATCCGAACTGGCAGAAGGTCCAGCCTTCTCCTTATCTCCGGTCTCATTCTTAGGTGTAGATGACGATGTATCTGTCTCCTGTTCAGTTGTAGTACTGGTGCCAGCGCCGATGATGTTGTTGTTGAAAGCCGTGCTCAGGGACAGCCCCCGCGTGCGACCGACGATACTACTCTTCAGATCCGAGAACCCCTTGGCGGCTTCTTCGCTGGCGGCGGCGTATTCCTGACGAGCGCCTTCGTAGTAGCTTTCGCCTTGTTTGCGGACGTTGTCCCATAGTCCACCGATGCGTGCACCCCAGGGGCTTGCGGAGAAAGCGCGGAAGGTTTCCTGCAGTTCGGCGTTAAGGTCAACGTTGGGGCGGTCTGAGTTGGTGGCGGGTGCATCGGAGGGGTTGTTATTGTTGTTGCTGTTGTTTTCTTTCTTGGCGGGGTCGTTGGCGGAGAAAATCTCCTCTTGGATGTGGTCGTAGGCTACATCCATGACTGCGGGAGGGTTGGACAGAATCAGAGAGGGATATCAGATGAAGTTGGAGGGCATATCGTGGATTGGAATGAGGGATGCGGAGGGATGTTCTGGTCAGTCAACTGGGCGGTTTCGTTCCCGGGGCTACGACGGCCCGACCGCCTACTCACTGACACCTCCCACGTGGTGAAGGACTACTACAACGAGGGACTGAAATACTGTGAGCGAGGGATATTATATATTGTTATTTCAAGCTATATATGATCTAGTCTCATAGGGTATTTCGATGCCGTGTCTCATTAGTGTCGTGATATATCGGACTGTCCTATCATGTAAAGTCTACGAGTCTGGTAAGCTGTAGGGTTCTCCAACGCTATCTTGGCTATCCATCAAGAAGGCCGGAAGGGGCACGCTTTCCATCACACTCGATGTGAGAATCTGGCTGCCGGTCAGAATTCCACGAGGACCGGAACTTTCCTCCTGATTCTTCTTGTGGAGTCGGTCTGCTGGCTGTGAAGACTCCACTTGTACCACGTCCCTTCGCGCAAGGGGCTCAGGGGGAATGAACTCCTTTGCTCGGGTGCCATTTCCTTGCCGTGCAATAGGTGAAGATTCCGGGACCATCTCCATTGGAGCCTTGGCGGAATTTTGTGCCTGAGTCTGGCTAACAGCTGGTATGCCAGGTTTGGACATTGCACGACTGTCCGTTCTAGGAGATGACGGCAGGGGTGACATGGTCCGGAGGGTTTGCTGGTCATTTGAATCTTCTGGGAACAGCTCAGCCAACTTCTGGGAGCTTAACGTCGGAATTGTACCAAGGGGAAATTGGGTAGCTGGCTGCAGCCTTTGGTAATATATCGATGCTTCGGAGGTGGGGTTTGGTTCCGGAAGCGGGAGTTCTGTTTCAACGTCCAGTCCGGATGAATCCATGAGCGGAAGGTCTTGGTCTTGCGAATTGTCTTTCGAGGGATCAAAGTCAAGGTCATCAGTTGCATCGGGGTCTCCTTCGACGGGCTCTGGGCTTTTGGGAGAAACAGGAGCGTCGGGTAAATCGTCTTCAAGGTCGCCGTAGTCGCTCTCCGCATCTGTCTCGTATATTACCGTCCTTTGTGAAGGCATCGCTCCTTCTTTGGAGTCTAGAAGCCCAGGACTGCTATGTAGACGAGCTGATTTCGTGGGCGTCTCTGCTTGATCGGCCGATATTTGATGAGGTGTACCTTCTCGACGGGAAATGGGCGAGTCTGAATTGCCAGATTCCGGCAATTCCGGCAATATATCGTTAGGAAACAGCAACATCGGCTCTAAATCTTGGTGAGGTTCTTCTTTGATGCGATGCATCGTAGGTGACTCTTCCTTGATACGCCGATCGGGAATGCTGACAGGTACATGGTTTTGAGAACGAGTGGTGCCGCGGAACTGAGAAGATGTGATTATTGCAAGACCAGGGCTCTCGGGAGACTGGGACGAGGGTATCTCCTGTTTGAAGCGTTTCTTTGGTGTCACTGGAGCTTCGGTCGCTCCCCGATCATTCGTAGCTTCCGTAGTCAGCGTCGCACCTTCTTCATCCTTGATTTTCTGTGCCTCGCGTCCATTTGAGTTGGATTGACGGTCATCCTGTTGTTGGAAACTCTCGGGATCCCGAGAGCGCATATGCTGGCTATCCTGGCCATCGCTCTTTTTAGGAGTAATGTAAGTATAGTCCAACTTCACGTCATCGTCCGGTTCGATCTTCAGATAACGTCGCACGTAGTCCATTTGCGTTAGAGTCTTATGTCCTTTCGCCTTTTCCTTGTCTTTCTTGCTGATATTGCTGCCCTCGCCGCTTTTTCTGCGCTTTTGTTTCAAGTCGCCGCCACCCTGGGAGCTCCTCTTTTTCGGCTTGGGAGCGGCATTCTTTGCACCTCGTTCGAACTTGACTCCACGAATGTCAGCCGGCTTCGGCTTCAAATGCGATGGCGGTTGGTAATCGGCGTCATTGTCGGAGTCATCATCAATCTGAATCACCTCAGGATCTGCCCGTCGCCTGCTGCGTGATTTGCTGTCGATGTAGTCGAGATCATCGTCATCGCCATCAGACCCCGTGTACTGGGACTTTGGCGCGACAAAGTCAATCTGCGTAAGTGTCGGCTGATCCGGCAGACCGGGAAAAGAGTTTCTCTTCCAGGATCTCGACGTCGATGCAGTAGACGCAGGGAGCTCTGTCCTGGCTAATGCTGCCTTGGCCGCGTTGGTCTCTGTCGCTGGACGTACTCTAGGAGGCTTGTCTGGTGTCTGAAATTGTCCCTGACTAGTCGTGGTGCCGGTTATACCCGTACTCTCACCTTGTCTCATCGCAACTCAGAATGGTCAGTGTCGTAGGTGAGTCTGCGGAGAGCCATAGGCGTTGCACGAGTCAATGGCCCCGGACGCAAGCTCGTGGCTGATTAGATCAATGCGGACCGCGTTAATGGATTGATTCCTCAGTCAGCCAATTCCGCGTCACGCGTCGAGCCCGCCATCCCATGGTCCGTGCGTTCAGGCAACAAGGCAACCACATGGCTGTTGCTCATACTCCGCCATATTACTTTTTGGTTTATACTTCGCACGCGATTTCTGACGGATTTGAAATTCCCTTCTGTTGCCATTCAACGGGATTCGAGAAGCCCTCTATTTATACCCAAAATACACCAACCAGCTACCATGGCCTACCCGGCCTGTACCAGCCCTAAAGCCCATGATTTTGCTGCGCTACTAACAGAGACTGCATAGCAACCAAATCTCAGCTAAACAGAGAGCCAGAACGACAGGGGAACGAACCAGCGGAAGAGCAGGAAAAGGAACCGTGAATGCAGCTTGGGAGTTTGACATACAATGGCCGACTCTCATTGGCAGACCAGCCTTCCATGCTTGTTCAACTTACCCATGCTGCCGATTGAGTTCAGTATTGCGTCACTACAAGGACTCGGGGGTGCACCATCCCATCCACCTATCTGGAATGAAGAACTCTTCCATTCTTACAAGTACTGGCAGCGGTGGCAGGATCACCTCTATTAACCTCTACTCATCAAGAATCTCCAGTTGAACTCAACCCTATTTCCTCCTCCCAGAAAGCCCGTCGAAGAGCGCACGCCTCATACCCTCCGCCACCACAAGCCCCAAATCACAGGAACCATGCTCACGAGATCCTTGAAACCCAAGGGACCTCTCCGCTGGACACGCCCAGGCCTGCCATACCGGCGGTGCATGGCCCATGTCTCGAACATCTCAGATCTCCCTACAGTGCGTTGCTCAGCCCCATGCACAGTTCACCCCCTATGCCAGGATACTACAGAACTAACCCCTCCCCTATAGGAGGATACCAAACCCTTCAGCGTCCCCATAGCAGACGACAGCTTCGAAACATACAATCTCGACCCACCTCCCTATAGCCTAGAAACCACCAAAAGCCAACTAAAACAACTCTACCATGACATGTCGCTAATAAGGTCTCTCTCTCATTCCCCTCCCCTCCCTTCCAATCAAAATCGTTCTGGACTCTCAAACTAACTTTTCCAGACGCTTGGAACTCACAGCCGACAAGTTATACAAGGAACAAAAGATCCGTGGCTTTTGCCACCTCTCCACCGGCCAAGAGGCCGTCGCGGTGGGGGTGGAACACGGCATCAGCCCCGAAGATAAGGTTATTACTGCGTACCGTGCCCACGGATTCACGTTGATGCGGGGTGGGAGTGTCAAATCTATCATTGGCGAGTTACTTGGTCGTCGAGACGGTATTTGCCATGGGAAGGGTGGTTCGGTGCATATGTTCACTAAGAATTTCTTTGGTGGGAATGGGATTGTGGGGTCGAATGTGCCCCTTGGGACGGGGATTGCGTTCGCGCAGCAGTATGATGATACCAAGAAGGTGACGGTGAATCTTTATGGTGATGGGGCTGCGAATCAGGGTCAGGTACATGAGGCGTATAATATGGCTAAGTTGTGGGAGTTGCCGGTTATTTTTGGTTGTGAGAGTGAGTTCGCATGATGTTCTTTATTCTTATTCTGTTTTTCATGGTTGTTCTTGTGTTGTGTTGGATCACCCTGGATCTCAGTTTCTAATTTCGTGCTTTGTTGCAGATAATAAATACGGAATGGGCACATCCGTGGAGCGCGCTTCCGCCATGACCGAATACTACAAACGGGGATACTACATTCCAGGTCTCCGCATCAACGGAATGGACGTTCTGGCGGTGATAGCTGCAATGAAGTACGGCAAAGACTACGTGTTGGGCGGGAACGGACCTTTGCTGTATGAATTCCAAACATACCGGTATGCGGGACACTCGGTATCTGATCCAGGGACGGCGTACCGGACCAAAGACGAGGTGCAGGCCGAGCGGGCGCATGATCCCATCACAACGTATCGAGAAAGGTTGATTGAATGGGGCGTGCTCAGCGACGACGAGGCGAAGACGATGGATAAGGAGATCCGACGCAAAGTTGATCATGAAGCTCAGGAAGCGGAGAAGATGGCGGAACCACCCTTGACTTCGGACGTATTGTTCGAGGATATTTATGTTCGTGGCAGCGAGCCAGCCCAGCGGCGCGGGAGAACCGTTGATGAGACATACTACCTGGGCTGATAAGGTGAAGCCACCGAAACTCTAATCTGGAGGGGGGTGTTGCGCTTTCATAGTAGTGAGCTCATAGGCATGTGCCTCGCATAACATAATTCGGTATAGTTCTAGTTTAATTGAACGTCATTATGATTAGCAACGTCTCAATATAGTAAATAAAGGGCATGCGGCACTTAGGAAGTTTGTAGCTTGTAGACCCTAACCAGACAACGACGAGTATTTGCTGCAGACAGGTATCTAACAGCATCGTCCAAATGGCTACCTTGAAAACTCCAGAGAACTGCACTGCAGACTTCTCTCTTATTCCAGTATGTCACCTTTTGTTCTAGTTAGCTTAACGAGGGCAGAGAATGGCTCGGTCGAAACCAAGCTCTAACACCGGTGGCTTAGATCGGCTCTCAAAGCGCATCCTTCTCGAAGCAGGTCGCGGATATCCAGCGTCTGATGCAGAACTCCGGTCTCAAATTTCAGATGCACGCCACTGGAACTACTGTTGGTATGTTTCAGCTCATAGAAATACCCTTGATGCTGGATCGAAATCTTCGTCGGGGATGTGAGCCCAAACTCTGCATGGAGCACGGTGTACGGCTTCCACGTAGCGTTCTGATTCGGAGATCATACGCCATCCCACGTTTGCTACTGCAAAGCTAATGTATTTGGTTAAAGAGGGATCGTGGGACCAGGTATCCCAAATTATCGGATACGCCCATACGCTGATCCACCAGGAAGGGATCGCTAGGATTCAGACGGACATTCGCATCACGACTAGGTGAGTTTGGTCCTTGGAGTATTACCCATTTTCCTGGCTGTTATCTCACACTAGTGTATAGAACCGACAAGGTGCAGCCTATGGAGGCCAATATAGCCTCAGTGCAGAGGGCTCTCGCGACTTGAGATGGCCGTGAGCCAACCGTTCGGGCGCTTATAGGAAGATGTGCGTCTTGTTGTGTTTTGAAAGCCTAAGTTTCGGTACAAGTCAGTAATCTAGGATGCCAAATGAATGATGAACGTTGTTTACAGAAACCCCTCAGATCCACGCATAAGGTAGTACCGTATTCATTTGTTGATATGTAGTCACCCCCTCTCCCCCAATTTGTTCTAGCGATGAGATACGTAAACGTATGTAACAGACTGGACGACTCTGTCCCAGTAACCTTGTATGTATCCTAGGATCCCTGTTATGGTCCGAGAGCCCAACTGATCATAGACCAGGATGCCGCTCCTGTGGATCGACGGAGGAGGAAAGTGAACGAGACGCAAGAGGGGAGGAGGCTAATTAACCTGTGACAGCGTCTCCTGCTGTGTATCCTTGCCCATCACCGTTTTGGCCCACTGCACTACAGTGAGAGGTGCATCTCATCGTCGTGCTCCGGTGAGAACGATCAAGTTTGGGCGTGCGTATCTAGATGCAGACCGCGTATTAGCGGCATTCGCTAAATCTATTTTAGAGCGTACCGGTCACAGCCAGGTGTCCTATCATCGTGATGATGGCGGGGTAAGTTGAGTCTGGATTCATTCACATGGTCGAAGTGAGCCTTTTTCTTGCGTTAGTATCATCTAACCCGAGGTTCCCCGAACATCAGAGCAGAAATCCTGCGGTAATTGGCAAGAAAACCAAATGCAACTAGCTGGGAGCTCCTGCATCCCGGTGGATACGGGAGGAGGGGAATTTGTTGCCTGGCAAAGTGGGAGGCATGCCACGCATATCGACTTCACACGATGGGTGTTGTTGGTCAGCCACAACTTTCTGGGAGGCGTTGAGAACAGAGAGGAGGAAAGAGAGTCCAGCCACGATAGATCTCGGGGAAGGAACAGACAGATCTCGTTGGCAGAAAGAGATGAATAGATAGCCGTCCCAGGGCCATGGACGAGAAAAGCCAGGGATAAGGCACGGTTGCCAGGACGGGGCTTAGCCTGGATGAGCGCATCAAATGAAGGATGAGTTTGGGGGTGGAGAAGTTCATCTGGCGGATCCTTCCATGGCTGGAAAAGAGGTGGAAATTGGGAATTGGGAATTGGGGATTGGGAAAATGGGGACAAATAAATGACTTGCTGGCCAGTCATGCCTCTTGCCTGTTCGGGACTCGCTGCGATTCGACGCCTGGGCGACGCTGGAGTTCAATCTGTTGCTTAGTGCCGTCTCTCGTCCTCCAACCAGTCCACCCAGAATAATGGAGCCACCCATTATGAGGATATGTACTTTGCATATATGCAGAATAGAGAAAGGTTGATGGTATTGAGCCCAAGGGCTCAGAGATCCAAGCCTGAAAAAATAGTATTGTATAATGAAAATAAAGCATGGTGAGAGTTTTGAGCTGGCCCTTTTCGACGGTAGGGGACCAACGCAAAAGTACGCAGCAGGAAGAATTTACCATGATGACAGAACGCTGTCAAGAAGGAAGGATTTTACCATCCAGATAGAGACTTCTCTTACACTGGTCTTCATATGCCTGGGGGAGGCAAGATCTGCAGCGTAAGCGTTCGATTTCTTAAGAGATGCCCGGGCATGAATGGCTGCTGGGGATAGTGATCCCGGACGCCCGAAACCAAACTCTCCGGTCCAAAAAGGTCTCTCCTTCCCCCCAAAGTCTTACCTTTGGCCTCTGCAACGATGACACGACCACGGCCTTGGGTCCTGTCTGTCATGCGCGAGACAGCTGGCTAATGCACCCGATCATGTCCCAAGAAAAGCAATCTGAATCCTGGACACTAAAAAGCAAGCCGATGATTCGTTTAACGTTTGGTATTGACGGCCCATAGTGCTAGTAGATACTACTATTCAGGGAGCATGGCACGAGCTGAGTTGGCCCGAAACAGATCGTCCGCCAGGCCAGCACACCATCCCATCCCCTCTTACCGTCCACACGGACTCGAAATGAAGGAATTCCACTAACTTGGCTCTTACTATCCTAGCCTATACTTGCCAGGATCAATCATGCAAGCTATCTGCAATGTAACATCATTGCTTTTTGCTTTAGGCCAAGGCACATGCAGTCAACTAAAACCAAATCTCCACAGCGGTGTGTTAGCATCGTCATGCAGCTTGTACCTAGGACATGCCTTGCCGGTCTTGGACCGCAGTACTACGGGGTATTCGGGACTGTAAAACGTAGTGAAGATCTCCGCTCATGCGTGCAGAGACCTGATTCGAGGACGGCAGGAATCTCTTTAACGCTGCAGTGATAGGAAAAGGAGGGCCTCTCCATGGAACCTGGTTGGTTAGTTCATTAATGCACCCAGCACGAAACGGTATCTGTGATGCTCATCAATAGAGAGGGTAGGGATGCTCCATCCCAGGCTCATTTTTTGACTGGGTACGGGGCAGAAAAATGTCCGGCCTGCTTTGAGATCCGGAGACTAAAACAAGAGACCAAGGCGTTTTCTTCTGCATGGTCGCCATGGTGAGTCCCAGATCCAGTACGCTGGGAGCGCCGTGACATGGTTACACCCACTTATTGCCAGGCATGCAAGTAATTCTCAGCTTAGCGCGGGAATGTCGCCTCCTCGAAAAACATGGTATAGTCTAGAAGAAAGCAGCAGAATATCTTTTGATTATTGAGCGAGACAGTACGGAGGCGTTGAATGAACAATGACCCGACTGTAGCTGGGTGAAACGGAGGATCTGGTGGGAATGGGGGAATATAATTGGGTATACATGGAGGGAAAGTATCCGCATGCGGAAGTCCGCCCTGTCGACGCCTTGTGGCGGGAGAGAGCGTCTTTGAAAGTGTCGAGGACATCAGAACCCAGTAATTATGGGGATCTAGTCTAGGAAGCCCGCAGGACTTGGCATGTCGTTCTCTTCCTCGTTCTTACCTGGCGCAGACGAGTCTTCCCCTATCAGAGCCAAGAATGCGTAAACCCATGCCCACCCGAGCTACGGGGCATGCGCGCCGCAGCCCCGTTTGGGATCCCTTTTGTCTCGCGTCACTTGGGAGCTCATTGTGAAGGATAGCGCGATACTGACACTGTCGCACTCTGTGGTCCTATTGTACGTATCTACATAAACTGTTGCTGTCGCTAAGCTTTGTTCTGGGTAACAACCCACAAGAACATTTTGGATTGTCGTCGTCATGCCATTTGAAAAGTTCCTTGACTGGAATATCATCACCACCATTTTGGGGTCCCCACCGCCGTCCATACACCGCTACAAAGAGAGTAGCAGTGATGTAGGATGGATACGTGATAGCCCACTAATTTTATTTTTTGAGTGCATGCTGTTACAGCAGTATTTCCATAATCTGAAAGTTAAGAGGTGCGATAGACCTTGAGACAATTGTACCGGTCCATGATGTGGAAGACCACAAGTAAGCCGAGATCTCACCCAGTAGACTCTAGTAGTAGGACACATGCTAGCTACTAGTTGGGAGGAATTGGGGAAGGTCGTTCCAGCCTAGCTGCTATCTTGAATTTATTTTCGGCACCGGCTCGGTTGTCAAGGTCATTGGAAGGAGGGTCGGCTGCAAGGGCCTAACAAGGCCAGCGACCACGGAGACAGAGCTGCTAGTTAGCAGTAGTACTCAAGAAGAGCCGGACAACGCCGGGTCTTGAGCCAGAGCATCACGGTGATAGCAATTACTTACTTAGGTAGCAGATCTGACTTGGCTTGGTAAGAGAAGGGAGCCACTCCAGTGACAGGGATCGAAAAAGCCGTTGGAGTGATCAGTCTGATAGTCTACCATGGTGATTGACGGACAATCTCAGCATGCAGTAGCCCAGCCGTCACTATTCTCCTCTGAGAATTAGTGAGTGGCACTTGCTAGGCTCTTACGTCCTCTAGTGTATGGAAGTGAGACGGCCTGGTCCTGCCACTCCAGGAGATGGGGCTTTTTTTCTTTTTTTCTTTTTTTTCTTTTTTTTCCCTCTTAGCAAAGTCCGCGCCTCCGCTAAAAAGCTCGACCCCCAAATGATCGGAGCAGGCTTAGTCTCACTTGGAGTCCTTCCTTTTCTTCGATGGTGGCCCTCTCTTGCCTCCCTTCCACCCCGCTAGGCTAAACCTCTAGGTATCTCTTGTGGACGGCCTCCATCGGCCTCTCCGATAGTCTTCCGTTTCGCTCGGCTCCATCATCCATTCCACTGAAATCCCTGTAATGGGTCAACAGGGTTCTTTACCTAATGTATAATATACGAGGTATAACATTGAATAGCGCTATTCCGAAAACCTGGGACAAATCACCCAAGCTCCGAGCAGCAGGGACTCAAGATGACTCGCTATCCTTTCCTGCGGGTGGGACATGCAAACCCAGACTAGCGAATAATGACTGGGGACACTTGTCTCCTGTTTGCTCGTATCAATGGGAATATGCATCATGCAGCTCGGGATCTGAAGAAGACAGATCCCTATGTGCAAGAATATGAAAAAGGACACATCACTGCTGAGCTCAAGGTTTTCCCAGCATTACGCTTCTCAGATTAGGGAAAGCGAGGTCCATCGTGGGTGTGATTGCATGATGGGCCTCAACAACATCACTCAAGGAAAACCTAAATAGATTAAACATGGCATCGCACGATAAGTTCGGCACTGTAAACCCTGCTCCATGTATACACGACCGAAAAAGCTGATATTGGCGATGGAGGGACATTCCTATGTTGGCTTCGTTTGACGTGAACTGATTATTCGAGGGGAGGAAAGCGAAGTATTACCCTGACACCAGCGGTATTGTAAGAACAGGGCGATAATCTCATGTATGACCCGGCAAGAATCCATCAAGGTACCTGTCAGGCACTTCTCTTACAATAGCGACGGGGTAGAGAGGTGCGTGATGGTTTTGACTTCTAACATTTTCAGCCGGCAATTGATGAGAAGAGCATTGCTTATGGTCATTTCTAAAAGATCCCGACGGAAGGCCAGCTCTTGATACCATACACGTATCAATTCCTCACCCAGATTACTCGGGAGGCAACTCATCTAAGTAGTCCTTCCGTATCCGTAAGATTGCCCAGATGAGTGTGAGCGCTGAACAGAGACTTTACAATTCATCGAATGCCAGGCACGAAGTTGGTATCTCACTTCCTACAACACCAAGTCTATGCCAACCTCGGATGGCGGAAAGGATCGAATTTCAACTTTCATCATACATATCCCAGCTTGAGTCGAGGTACCTGAAGTCATCGCAGGAATGGTGAAAAGGTCCATCTGCGCCGAGCCTTGATCGACCAGTACCTTCAGGTATGGCATGCAGGTAAACTTGGATGATGGGAATCCTTTCCGACACCGAAGTGGGCGGAATCATTCCAACTGCAGACAATGCACTCTCTTGGAAGGGACTACTATGTAAGCTACCGATGAGCTAGTATGGTCTCGGGATTGTTAGGACCATTTGGCATTTGCCCAATATATTTTGATTATTACCTTCGTCAGGCTAGTAGCTAAGCAGGAACCTCGCGACCAACAATGCTTCTGCGGGGCGACGATCCAGTCAGAGTCAAACCCGTGCAAGCGACCAAATTCAAATTAACAATGAGACATCTGCGACTGTCGTACGATGTTAGGGAGGGGTATTCATCCCTCCTTTGGGTACGAAAGCCGGGAGTGAGTTGGGATGGAAAGTGGTGACTGCAGTCCAAGCTTAGTCTGCATCATCGTTCATACTTGTCGGTGGTTGAAGCACCGGTTTCCCTATGCGGAGTGACCATGTGACAACAATCGTTCGGGTGAGTTGCTTGATCATGCTACTAACTAAATGAGATTTTGCTTGCTGTAACTACACAAAACATCTGCAATATACAGTACACACACCTGCCAATATTCCAAAGAAGGGACATTTGACTCAACAAGAAACTTTCACCCTTCAGAGACGGGAGCTTCCCGGCATCGCTGGAAGTGGAGTGTGGGCCTCATGAATTTGGAATCAAACCAAGGGGAGCAACCAGAAAGCTGTCGAGGTCGTGTGGGACAAAAGTGGAGGGGAATTCCGCCGACGAAAAGGTGGGTCAAAAGTATCCCGACAGACTGGATACTGCGGTACTTCCGTCTGCTCTTGATTGATTATCGCCTCTCTTTTTTTTCCCTTTTATTTTTATTTTTCTACTTTTTCCTTTTTCTATTTTTTTCTCTTTTCGTTATTTCTCATCCCCGAGCCACAGAGCTGGTGGATGAACTGGAATCCATGGCCGAAAAAGACCGGGAAAATGCTGAGACATGCATCCCAACTGGCTGTCTGCCAGTTAGTCTATTTAACTTTCCTAGAGTCAAAGATAAATAACGCAGGCTTATCTTACTGTGTACTAGGATCATGCAAATGCATGCGCCGCAACACCCGTCTAAATTCAGCCCAGTCGGATATTGGGGGTCGTAGTCCATGGATGCGACTTTCCGGCGGTGCGGCACCAACAACCATTGGATCCCAATTTCGGTTGAAGATCACCCAATCTGCTTCCCCTCTTGGATGATGTATCACTGTTCCATCCCGGAGGTACCATGGAGTCTACTCTTGCACCTTGTTGCACGGAAATCATGCAATTTCCCTTCATCTTCACCTTCATTACAGGGGCAGAAAGGGAAGAAAGGGCAACAGCTACAGCAATCTGTGAGACATGTCAGGATTCCAAATGCTTTTCTCGAAGAAAATGTCCGGACCATTCGGGCCGCCACCCTGGGTATGCCGACCAACATTAAGTTATTAACCGACCTTTACCATCTTGACCATCTGGGCCCCTGATTAGCGAGCGTCTTTTAGTCCGATATGCACAGGACTATCAATTTAGTAATAGTGTTTCGCCCCCCGTCGCTGGCTGCTCCCGGCAGCCTGGGACGCCCGTGCTTTTTTTCCTTACCCTTTTCTTTTTTTCTCCCTTTATTTCTGTCGCTATGGATTCTGATTAGTCCGGCAGCTACTGTACCCAGTAACCTGGCACCAATGCCCAGCGGGAGGGGCCATTACAAAAAGAAAAAGCAGAAAAAGGAAGAAACAAGACGGGCCGGAGGAAAAAAAAAGGCAGATCTTAATGACCTACTGATGAATGCGTTGTCAATCTCCCCCGGCCTGGCCGCAATAATTGAACGCTAGTGTATGTCTTCCCCTCATACTGAGAAAAAAAAAAGAGGCTACCTAATTTGAAACCACGGTCAAGTCCGACCTGAAGGAATGGGAGACGATCCTCAAGTCGCTTCAGATTCAGGTGATCATGGAACCCCTTCCGGGAACCCAAAGGATCGGAGGGCCATTCGTCTGCGGTAGTACCCGTTGTTTCCGAGCGGAAGCTGTAGAAGAAGAGAGAACTTTCCGAAGGGGGTCAAGATGGATTTGATTAGCTTTGTGTTGGAGACAAAAAAGTTAATTGAGGGGGGCTTTTTCTCGGTGACGCTCGGCAGGAAGAATGGCCACCACTAACATGACCTACTTGCGTCTTCCTGCGTCCACCGTACTTCGTATCGGAAGGCAACAATGCAGAGGCAAACGGGAAATTAAGCACCTACATACATGGGCTACATGCAGCAAGCAACATGCGGGAAGGCCAGCTCTGCGGACATTGGGCCAGCCAGTAGGTAGGTGTGAACGAGGTAGGTATAGTGTCCAAGTGTTCCCAAGTAAGTCAAAAAAGATTAGGATCAGACATTGGATGGGCTTGGGATTCCCACCACCCGAACAGAACCACCCACTCGGTTCACACGAGTAGTAGTTTGGGTGCAAAGTTGGAGTATTCCACCTCTCTTAGTCTATTAATTTTGATTGTTTTCCCCCCTTGGCGCCCGTGGGTACCCCCCGATCCCCTAGTACGCAGTACCTTATAGCGAGTATCTATTACTATACAGTAGAAACCGCCGCCTAAGGACCGAAAAGTCTTACTGCAAGTAGATAGGGATAGTGTACTACCCTAACGGGGCTGGCCAGCTACTGTGGCCTACCAATCTTTATTTTTTGATTTTGCATTGAATTTTTTTTTGTTTGGTTTTTCTGTCTTTCCTTCTCTCCATTCTTCTTATCATTGTTATTCTGAAATAATATCTTTTTTCTCCCTGTCCAATGGTGTGCAATGGCTGTCTCGCAAAAAAAGAAAAAAAGGCCCCTTAATTATGGTGATTGTCTGGCCCAGTCAGGGCCAAGAGTTTCTGGTATCTTTCTAGTTTTCTTACTTCTATTTAGCTTTGGGGAGGATTAGGTATCTTCCCTCCCTCCCCCATCCTGCTAAAGTCAAACTTAATCCAACCTGTCGGGTTCAGGGAAGGAAATTGGGAAAAGACAGCCGACGGCCCTCCTCTGCCACCCACTTCTGATGCTACCCACAAATGTCAACCAACCCCCCTGTCCAGCAACAATTATAGACTCCGTAGTGCTGAGGAGAACCTGTCAATCTTAAATACTATATGGCTGGCCCAGATGCTCTCCAACTCTGGAATGACATTTCCGAGATTTTTCAAATCTTATGCCCTCTCCCTCCACCCTGTACAGTAACGGAGAATTTGTAACCCTTCTTCGCCACGACACGACTGTCTCTACAATACTCTGCCACCACCTACTACCACTACTATCTCTGCATACTCCCCCGTAAATACAAACCCTTCTTTTTTATCAATTTTAGGCCATCAAGTCCGTGCTGGGATTGAATTTCTCATACTATTTCCTTATGAGATATCGTTTTTATTTTTAAACCAATTTAACTTACACCCTCGTCGAGCATCCACTGACTAAGTCGCCTTACCGAGCCCTGGGCCTGGATACTACCTACGTACTACCATTCCCACCCCCACTCAGACACTGGCCTCTTAAGCTCCGGTTTCCCCAAGTCCTCTGGTACGCATAATGCCTGCTGGTAGATCAACTGTGAGCTCTCCCCTACTACTTGAGACCCTGACAAGGACCAATCTTTTATGTTGGTTGTAGTGGTAGTGGCTCTTTCTCCAACTCTTTGCTTTTGCCCTTGGTCGCCGTCTACATTGTTTCTTTCGATCCGTTCCCTCTAGTAATAACTAACACACTATGTCGCAGGGATCTAGTCGTGAAGAGTAAGTACTGACTCTCCCAACTACACGCCGAAAATTGAGCTAGAGGTGCAAAAACTGCTTAGTTACTCGCATCTTCGCTTCTATTGGTGGTGTTGGTGCTGATTGTGACAATAGTGACACGCAGTCTTTGACTGCCAGTGTAACGGATTACCCCATGGAATATGGAAGACGATACCACAAATATCATGAGGGCTGTATGTGCAGGCCTCTTCGACGCTCTCGGAGCCAGACTTGTCTCTGACTGAAATTTCTTTTCTTTCCCAGCATATTTATATCCCAACGACGAGCAAGAGCTAGACCGGATGGACATGCAACACCACATGCTCAAATTGGTCAACCGCGGGCGGCTGCTCTTTGCCTCTCCCCTAAGCCCAAAGAAAATCTTAGATGTCGGCACCGGTTCTGGTATATGGCCTATAGAACTAGGTAAGCGAAAGAAAAAGAATCCTCTCCCCCCCCCATCCTCTCCAGCTCATCCTACCGGACAGTTTCTCATCGTGTCTCCATCACATGTAGCGTCTGAATTTCCAGCAGCCGAGATTATAGGAACCGATCTTTCGCCTGTACAACCGAACGAAGTCCCCGAGAACGTCCATTTCCTAGTCGATGACGTTACAGAGGACGAATGGCTATGGGGCCCCAATCACTTCGACGTCATTCATGCCGGTCACCTTTCAGGTGCCTTGCCATCATATAAAGACTTGTTACGGAAAGTCTTCAAGCATCTCAAGCCTGGCGGTAGTGTTCAGTGCGACGAATTTGACCCGAAGCCGAAATGCGATGACGGAACCATGCCAGAAGAGGACCCCGATAAGTTCAGCGAATATGCCCTTCAAGACCTGATGGATTTACACCATCGTGCCGGTCAGGCATCAGACCCGCCCCGACAGTTTCGAGTAGCTCATCGACTGGCACGCTGGATGAGAGAAGTGGGATTCGAGGACGTTCAGGAACGGGTACAAAAAGTACCCGTGAACCCTTGGTCTACCGACTCTCATCTGAGAACTATTGGTTCGTGGAACGAGACAAACCTGCTGGAAGCCGCAGCTGGTTGGTCTTACAAGCCACTCACGATTCTTGGCTGGTCGAAGCCCGAGATCGAAGTCTTCCTGGTCGATGTTCGAAAATCTATCCAAAACCGTGATGTCCACGCCTATTTGGACTATTATGTGGTAACAGGAAGAAAACCACATTCTGCTTAGCGAGGGAGCCCTTGAAGGGTTTCACCACGAAGTTTACGGCTTCGAGAGAAAAGCACCACAAAACAGACAACGCTCCTTTCGGATTATCGTTCCTTAGCGTCCATACCTGCCTTTTGGCCTTCACTTCATATTTTATTTTTCATCATCATCGGGCCTGTCCTCATTTTCATACTTCCCGTTTTCCTTGTGTGTTGGCGAGCATTGGCATAAGATACCATCGACTACAGAGAAACATTATATATGCATGGAAGGCGTGCAGGGGCCTCCTTTTATTTTCCTACATTCTATTTCGCTTTCTCTTCTTGCACATATAATACAAATTCATAAATTTACCGACATGTGTTGTTAAATCATGCATGACTTTACTTGGTTTGCGCTACAAAGAATAGAACAGGCCAGTCATTTAGACATTTAGTATACAAGAATAGACCAGAAACACGAGCATTCAGCCTCGCGACAATATTCCTCTCATCGGTATCTTACTCAAGCAAACAAACAAAAAAGAAAAGAAAATTCAGGAAATCTCTACTACCTGCAAACCAAACCACTGCACGAACCTCCCAAATCACCACTAGCAACTAGCCTAGTAACTACTTGGGCCCAAAACACGGTTCCCCAATTCGGGGCAGCCCGCTTACTCATCACCCATCCAACCCTCTCCAAACCTTCCAAGCTTGATCCATCCAATCCCGCCTTTGCTAATCAACCACATCCGACAGGCCCAGACATCGCGATTTGCTTCAATTCCCTCCACCGCCGTCGCATGCGCCCCGCTGCCTCATGTCTCTCGGCAGACATGCCTACAGGCATGCACCATCATCGAATAACCTCCTCGATCACGTCTGGATCAGCGAGGACTTCCTAGCTTCCGCGTTCCGACGCTTCGCTAACGGCCAACGACGCTACGAGAGCCGCGTTCCGGGCCCATTGGAGGCTCGACGACGACTCGCTAAGAGGAGGAATACTGCCCTCGCTGGGATTGCGGGAACAGGGCCTTTGGATGATATTGCGTGTTTGTTTGGGCGCAATGGGAGGGAGCATATGAAATGGACGACCACGACGGAGGGGAGAAAGGCGAAGGGTGAGTGATCGAAGCTGTTGGCTTTATGTTGGTGGAGGATTCTAACGGTGGTGATTGTGTTTGTAGGCTCGCACTTTTATCAATTGAGTACCCCGTCGCCGTCACCGCCGCCGCCGCCTCCGATACCGACACCGTCTGTGCCAGTGTATAATGAGGGTGGTAACATGGTTGGTGATGAGTTTGAGTTTGGAAGGCCGGATATGCCGCCAGAGGGTTCTGATGAGGTATCGCGCGATCAATATGTCAGGAGACGGTTGAGAGAGTGTCGTACCGTCGAGGCTGTTAAGAGGGTTGTTCGGCAACTGGATGTTGATCTTTTGCGCGAGCCGGGGTATAGTCGGTTTATATTCGATCACTTGTTGTCGTGCTCGAGGAGGGGGGAGGTGGCTGTTGATGAGCTGGTGTCGTTTCTGGATGATCCGCAGCTTAATATCCGCGGAGCGAGGAATTATTTGACCGCGGTCGAGTATATCGCTTCGCGGGGAATAAGGCATGGGAAGTGGCACCCGCTATTCGACAATGTCGTTCAGGCTCTGGAGCTTGGGCTCGTTCCGCCTGAGGAGCTGTGCGCTGTTATAGAGGCTGTTGCGAAAGCAGTACCGGCGAAGGGCGAGAAGAAGAGACCCTCCCCGGATACGGTCACGGCAATGTACCGGGCGATGTGGGATGCAATTGGACGGTGTGATATCTATGGGCATGGTGATCTCGACGAGGGGGTTATTGACGCGTGGCTTGGCGCTTTATGGGAGAGGGATGTCTGCGAGGATTTGCCCTTGGCGAAGAGCATGCTCGTTGCTGCTCAGAGACTGGAGTCGGCATCTTGCTCGTGGGCTACGTTGTTTATCACGCGCTGGCTGGAACTTCCCAGAAAGCTGCGAGCTGGCGCTGGTGAAGTCTACGCGAGTGACATACTGAGCAGTTTCAAGCCGGATCTTGCAACAGCTGCTGTCATATCGACAACCGAATTTCTGGCGTTGAACAAGAAAGACCTGCTTAGCCGGTGGCACGACTGCTTGTTGCAGGCTCAAGAGATCCCGCAACTTGTTTCATCGAAAGCATGGCTTGATGTTCGATCGCAGCGCGATGTAACAGAGCCAAATATTACGCTGCAACATCAGATCATCTTACGCATATGGGCTTTACGCACTCTCAGCAAAGGCCTTTCCGACGGGCCTCTTTGGAGGAAGAATGTACGAGCCACAGATGTGCCCATAAGACGCCTCTTCGGCCTCTACGAGTCCATCGAAAAGACCGAGTCCCGTGAAGACTTGCTAAGCAGCCTAATGGAAGGCATCCATGACCTTGGGCTACCAGCCAACGGCCTCCTCATACTAGCCGTCGACCTGAAAGCCCGCAACGCCCTCACCAAATCCACCCGACGCACCCTAACCAACATGGAAACATCCGCATCCAACGCCTCCTTCGCCAACATCTTCGCCAGCCTCGACGCCTACAACGCAAGCACCCCCCACTTCTTCTCCAAATTCGAAGCAATGACCCGCCAAATCGACATCACCTCCCCAGACTTCATCTCCCACGGTCTCGACCTCGCCCGAACCGGCGACTCCCGCAGCGTATGGACACTCATCCGCCTCCTCCGCTCCCACACCCCTCTCAAAATCGCCCTTTCCAAATCCTGGATCCCCATTGCCGATCCCTCAGAAAAAGCCCTCGTGCGCTACAACCCCGAGCCCAGGACCAGCGACTGTCCAGACCCGCACGCCGCTTTAGAGATGATCCACCTTCTGGCAGTGTCACTCGCGTGCTCGAGGCGCTTGAGCCCTCGCCGTGCCTACAGTCTCGTGCATTGGCTGTATGTCTTCCTGGTGAAGCATAATGCGCCTGTTAAACCGGCGATTGCACGTGCTTTGTATCATGCGGGCGTTGAACGCTTTCGGCGTGAGGGGTTACGTGTTTCGCTTACGCAGTATGCGTATATCTATGATGTTGTGGAGGAGGTCGAGGGTGCGGATGTCGTGGAGGCGCTTATGGAGCCGCCGAGGATTGGACATCGGTTTTCTGGGGAAGAAGAAGGGGGGGGTTGTTCTGAGTACGAAGAGGTGCGATGAGGTGTATTTTAGAATACCTAGCCTGGTCTGATACACCAGGATTGTATACTACTAGTATAGATTATAGCGACTGAAGAGGAAATATCATTGCCTCCGGCGTATCAACTACAGCTCTACGCAAGTATAATTTCTTGAATCGTTCTCAATTCAAACAATCATAATGGCAATTATTCATGCGTGGGCCCCTATTTAGGATAAGATAAAGCGAGCCCGACAAAACCAGCAGTAGTAAATAATAACCTTTCTTTGCTCTAGTCGTTACAACAACAAATAACAACACAATACTCAGACATCCACCTCCATCAAGTTAGGATCACCCGACGCCTCCTCAACAGAGATATACTTCCGCATATCCTCCTTGCTGATGATCTTCTGGTTCAAATAAGCCGTAGTACCCTTAGGGAAACGGTAATTGCGCTCTTTCTCGCCACGCTCATTAGGCTTGATGTAGTTGCGCAGCAACTGCGTAGGCTTGTCCTTCTCAATGACACAAACATCGACATTGCTACCAGATCCCAGATCGTTGAAGATACCAGCCTTGATGGCCTCCGCGCACAGGGCGATCGCACCCTCACGGTCCAGGTTCGGCTTCCATGTCGACTCGAACACGGACATCGCGGCCAGGGAACCAGATCCCATGGTCACGTAGGGAAGCTTGTCGGTGGATCCGTGGGCGTGGACGGTGAAAAGACCAATGCCGGTGGGGTCGACACCTGCCACGACTAGGTAGGCGCCGATGTGGCCTTGGTATCGGAATAGGTGCTGCTTCAGCATCGTCATGCAGGTGATTACGCGTGGGGGCCGGCCCGTCGAAAGTGAGTGCAGTTCGATGTTCGAGCTGATCAACGCCGTCGTGAACTCGGTGTCCGCGGCCGTTCCGGCTCCCGCGCACCAGATCTTGGGCGCGATGTAGTGTAGTTTCTCGCAGTTCTGGAGGTGTGGGGATATGTGTGTTAGTTGTTTTGTTGGATTGGAATGGTTGTGAGTGCCCAGGGAGGAGGAGGGGGAATGGGTGTTTACCTTGTCTGCTACTATCGGGCCGCTGGTGGCTCTGGTATCTGCTGCAATCTGTGGTTATGCCAGATGTGGTGAGTTCGTGATCGTCGACTTGGGTACTAGGGAGCTTGTTGGGTTGCTCCGGAGGTACATACCACAACGCCATTGTCGTATATACATCCCACGATGGTTGTACCGGTACTGGTGGCCTTGGGGAGAGGAACTCCCTTCGCGTGGAGCGCCGCGTTACGGTTGTAGTTGGAGAAATCGAAGCCTGTCATGGTGACGGCGTGGAGAGGTGATGTAGTGGGAGAGGGGTGAGGAACAGCAGGAGCTGAGAGAATTGAAGCTCAGTTGAGATGAAGAGAAGCTGAGGATTGACGAAGAAAGATGAGATACCGGCACAGATGACGGGGGAAGAGCAGGAAGCTATAGCAGGACGGAGAGAGATGGCGGAGGAGGAGCTGCGAGTCGATGGAGTGACGAAGCTCCGGGCGCCTGATCGTGGCAGCCTCAGGCACGTAACGGATTAGCTAATGGGCGAGCAATTCCGCTGTTTTTGTCCGGCTGGGAATCTGGCGCCGAACTCCATCTCCATTCTTGTTGCGTTGCTCCTGCATTATCGGCAGTCATTGACTGTGCTGTTGTTTCTCTTTTTCTTAGGGTCGTTGTGAACCCCGTCTATCTTATCCCACTTCCTTCCCTCGAGGGGAGGTGGTCAAGATTTTTGCGCGCACCTGGAAGCTCTTCAATCGGAGTCCTCAAGCACTCCAGCGTCGCTCCTTTTCATCTTCGCCGCAAAGTCCACCTTCTCCCCATGCTCCAAAGACCCGGTTATCTCTAGGCGACCGTCCTCGTTCAATCTCGGCCGATTTCGACAGACTCAGAATGGCTTTCAGCTTTGGAGCCTCCAACCCCGCTGGGGGTGCCGCTGAATTGGGCCCCGAGCTTCCTGATGTTTATGCAGATGTATGTCGCAATGGCATTAAGGGTTTGAACCGATTTTGAACTGACATTATGGCCAAACAATGTAGGAAGTTGGGTTCAAAGGCGTGTCCAGCGATAGCAACATTCGATTACTCAATACTCCCTGGCCCGAAGATTCCCTTCCTAGCCCTACGAGCTCCCTTTTGGCTGTCGCAGCAACAAAAGGCGTTGTTGTCGGTGCAGGACCAGACGCCCTTTATATCGCCTCCTCCAACGACATAAGAACAGCTATTTCCGCACCCACAGGAGATGAGAAGGTCAAGACCAAGCCCTTCCAGCCGCGCGCAACGATTCCTCTCCCCGCTCGGCCTACGCATATCACTTTTGCCTCGAGCGATAGCGCCCTAGTACTGGTGACAGAAAATGGTACGCAGCTTTCGGTGTTTGAGACGGCAAGTCTCTTGCAAGGGAATGCGCAACCGGCATTGTCTATCCCGACTAATGGTGCCACATTTCGCTTCCTTGCCCCCAATCCCGCACAGTCTGAAGACTCGCACTCATCCCTTGTTGCGCTTGTCACAACCGGGGGCGACCTCCTCATAGCCGATCTGAAAGCCGGAAACATGCTCTCGGGTCCCAATGGCCAGGTGTTGAAATCGGGCGTCAGCACAGTTTGCTGGAGTAACAAGGGCAAGCAGCTTGTGGCAGGGCTGGCGGATGGCACTGGATTCCAAATGGCTCCAGATGGTGCTCAGAAGGATATCATTCCGCGTCCTCCCGATCTGGAGGATAACCATCACGGTGCGTACCACGTTCGCGTCTTTAAAGTTTCCCCAAATTCTAACCTGTGCAGTGTCCTCTATCGCCTGGCTTGAGAATGACGTCTTCTTGATGGTCTACACATCGAATGCTGTGGAGGATGATATGGGCCAGACACCATCATCGCCTTACTATATTATCACCAGGAGGAAGAATGCGCCTTTCTTGATCCAGAAATTGCCGGAGTTGTGTATGCCATTTGGCTTCAAGCGCGCCCCTGCCTACCAGTTCCTCGCGCGTCTCCGAGAATACAAACCGCATTTGAAGGATGTCATTGTTGTATCCTCCACCGCTTCGACCGACGTATGCTTGATCACGAGGGCGGATCAACCACTGGCTAGTGATGATGCCGCCAAGGCTACTACCGGGCTCTTTGTCACGACCGAAGTGAACGATGACACCAAGAGAGCTTCCCTTCCGCTAAAAGACTCTACGGAAGAAACCACTGTGATCGGCTTAGGCTTTGACCTATCGAGCACTGAGAATGTTGTGGCTCCGATTGCTGGCGAGGATATTGCTGAGAGTTCCACGCCGCTGCCGAACCTGCTACTCCTCAATAATGAGGGTATCCTGTCCTCTTGGTGGTTCGTCTATAATGAATCAGTCCGTCAAAAAATCCCTTACCACGGTCTGGCATCAGAGGCTCAACAGCAGCAGCCGGCACCGCCAGCACAGTCAGTACAACCTCAGCCCCCTGCGCAGCCTGCGTTCGGACAATCAGCTTTCGGTAGCCCATCTCCGCTAGGAGCATCCCCTTTTGGCAAACCGTCAGCTGCACCGGCATTTGGTAGTACTTCCACTTTGGGTGCCAACCAGCAGCCGGCCTTCGGAAAGACATCGTTTGGCGCACCTTCTTTCGGCACCCCATCACAGCCGGGGGCCTCCTTTGGCGCTCCTAGTGCCTTGGGAACTGCGTCACCCCAGTTTGGTAAGTCCGGCTTCGGCGCACTGGGTGGCGGGTCAGGTTTTGGACAACCGTCAACGCCGGGTAAGAGTCTGTTTGGAGCCTCGACTACTAGTACAGGAGGAGGATTTGGCTCTTTCGCAAACTCTTCTGGAGGAGGGTTTGCTGGCTTTGCGGCGTCGAAAATCACTACCGAATCACCCTTCGCTAAAATGTCTGGAGAAAGCGCATTTGGGAAATCGTCTGTGCCGTCGCCGTTTGGTGCTAAGACCGAAACTGACACTGCGTTCCCTCCCCCAACCTCGGGCGAGACAAAGAGCGCTTTTGGACAAAGCTCTAGTGGCTTCGTGTTAGGATCTACGTTCAAGGGCGACGGTACTGCGGTCAACGATGGGCCTAAGCCGGATAAGCCTTCAGGACTATTCTCGTTTGGCGAATCCATGGACGACATGGTATCTAGCAGCAACAAGACTAGTCCACCAACCGAGTCAATGGATGATATGGACGACGAACCTGCGCCTCCGCAGAAGCCTGAGTCCAAAGAGCCTGAATCTAAGGGACCTGCGCCATCTATTTTCGGAGCGCCCTCCAAGACCGAGACCGCTGCACCGACCTCCCTTTTCGGCTCCAAGCCGCAGCCTCCTAATCCTTTTGGTCAGCAGCCGGCCAATCCTTTCGGCCAGCCCCAGGCTACTACCAAGTCTCCATTCTCGTTGTTCGGCAATGCTTCACCTGCTAAGCCCACATCAAGCCCGCTGGCTACCCCCTCTGAAAAGACTACAGCTGCTACACCACCCTCAGCTAAGACGCCTTCCGAAGACGCCCATCGTACTCCCCTTGCCTCCAGTATCCAAACCCCTCTCCCCCCTGACCCCACCAGCAAGGCTTCTTACGGGCCGGGCGATACTTCGGCATCGTCCAATGTGTCTAAGAGTTCCGTTGATGACGCTCCTCTTCCTCCCGACTTCACTGTCAAGGCGAAACCTGCCGCGGCAGATGTCGGAGGAGAGCCACCTTTACCCCCGGATTTCGCGAAGAAGCTTCCTGAAGAGGAAGACGACGAAGAAGAAGTGGACGAGGCTGAAGCTGAAGAGGCGCCGTTGCCTCCGGATCCAGCTACGTGGAAGCCACCAGCAACGCAGGAAGAGCCTGGTCCAGTACCTGACGAATCCGATGCCGATGAGTCTGGAAGAGAGGAGAGTGAGGAAGGCGAGGAAGAAGCGGAAGAGGAAGAAGAGGAGGGCGACGAGTCTGATTTTGGAGATAGCGGTGAAGAAGTCTCCCGAGATATCAGCGAACCAGAGTCGGCAGAGGCGAGTCCAGAGGCCACTCCCGACGGTGCCTTCAAGTTCGGGACTAAGGGTGGCTTGTTCTCGCAAGCTGCTAAACCTGCACCCGCTCAGCCCCCGGCACAGCGGTCCTTGTTTGGGGAGATTGGAAAGTTCCCGACATTCCAAACTCGGGAGCCTCCAAGGTCGCCCAGTCCCGTACGGAGTGGTCTTCAGAAGAACCGGTTCAAGATCGGGGGCCAGAAGCCCAGTGCTGCACAGGCTCCAGGAAGCACTCTTGCTGCACGCAAGGCTTCCCTCACCGAGGCCGTCAAGCGTGAGAATCTCCTGAAACCGCAGGTTGCTCAGAAGGAGAAGTCTCCCGTGGACCTCAAGGCCAAGCAAATGGAAGAGGAAGCTCAGGCTCTTTCGGACGATGATGAGGACGAGAGGCTGCGTGCAGATCTCGCCCGACCTCTGGAGCCTGTTCCGACACTGGATCCTTTCCTGCCTCACCAGGATTATGCCGGAGAGACCAGCAAGCCTGGTATTCCTGGCCAGATCGAGCGACTATACCGGGACATCAACTCCATGGTTGACACACTGGGCATCAATGCTCGGTCACTGGCCTCGTTTGTTTTGTACCAGAAGCAATCGCAAAGTGGTGATTGGGTCGAGCTATTGAACAAGGAACACCCAGCTGCTATCCTTGACGAGAAGCTACTGCTCTGCGATATCGAGAAACTGGACGATGCTGTTGTCATGCTTGCCGGCTCTCTCGAACAGCAGCGGGTGCAAGGGGTCGAGGACAAGCTGAAGGCCTGCCAAGAGCTCCTGAGCAAGGATATTCTGACGCTTCGGGGCCAGTGCGCGAGCATCCGGAAGACTCTGGATGCTCACACCGATGCAGCAGCTATCGTCTCTGCGCCTCTTTCAGCAGAGCAGGCGAACCTGCAGCAAGACCTCCGCACTGCCTCGACTGACATCCAGGCCAAGCTGGCGGATCTCGAGTCGGCAGTGTCCCTCCTTCGTGCCAAGATAGCCGATGCTCCTCGTCCCGATGGCACTGGCTCCCGGCAAGCCATGAGGCGGCCGACCGTGGAAGCTGTCACGTCTACAATTGCTACGATGACCAACATGGCTGAAAGCAAGCGCAGTGACATTGACGTCCTGGAGATGCAGCTGAAGAAACTAGGCATCGACGCCTCGGCCCCGGCAGCAGCCAGCCGGGAAGGCTCACCCTTCACAACCCCGCGAAAGGGCATGGGACGATTCCCAACCACCCCCGGATCCGACGGACCCAACAGCGCATACCATACACCGGACTCTGCTACACGAGGCTTCCGATCCAGCATCAACGGCTCAGCGCGGGCTAGTCGACTTCGTGAAGTGGAAGGAGTCGGAGAGCTCGTGACCCGGGAGGAGAGTGCGCAGTGGAAGACGAAGCGGCAACGCCGGCAGCATATTGTGGGCAGTCTGAAGAAGG